TATATATATATATATATATATATATATATATATATATTGTCTGCAGAGCGTAATTGAAATTTTAGGTGAAATCTAATGAACAGGTTGTACGGATAGTTGTACAGATACATAATTACAATAAAATAATTAATTACTCGTATCCTAGAAATGTCTAAAACATATTTATCTTTCCAATTTGAGAAAAAAAGAATTCAATAAATTATTTTTTCTTAATGTTTCAATAATTAAATATAAAAACGTTTGCACATTAATTTTTGCTAGAAATATTCGATCATTACACGTTGCAGAAAGAATATTAATGAAGAAAAACAAAATTAAATCAATTTCATTCCCTTTTTTTGCTAATACTTTATAATTGCTCATACACAAATCGATTAATTAACAAAAAATTTTGACACTAAACTTATAATTATTGCGAGTGTTCAACTGATTGATTGAAGGAGATATAGTAATAAAATAGTTGCAAAAATTCAAATAAAACATAACCTGTTATTTTCTCAAAAGAAATGATATTCACTTTTACATTTCAAGTACCACTTTGGTATCATTTAATTATTTCACTAGTTACCTATAAATTTCCTCACTTAACAGAACAACTTAGAGTATTGGAAATATTGGCTGCAGAAATGAAAATCTGTATATATTTGTATATATTTTCATAAAAAAAGAACAAATTAATGGGTAAAAAAGTCGAGAATTTAAGAAAGGTGAAAGTTATAAGCGAAGGTGGAAAGTTATTTTGATTGCAATATTAGGAATAAATGCACAAATATGTTTGCACCAAGTAAATAATGACAGAAAAATGATAATTTTATTCATTTATGGCAATGAATTTCTAAGAATCAAGTACTCCAATATTTTTTAAAGTTCACCAACCAAAAAGCAATATAACTGGATTAAACTTTTAATCATGCATCTATTAGAATAATATTAAATATTTCTTGTTTTTTTTTAAAGCTTTAGAAAAATTTTTCTTCCATTGTTCATCCTTCTTCTACTACAAACTTTCCAAAATCTTATCAAAATTGTCACATTTAAATAAGTGTTTGTGATGTGATAAATATAATCCAATGTTATTTTAACAAAAGCACATTAGAAAAGATTAAAATACAAATACTGTTTATCTATGTTTAAAAATCTTGCTAATTTACTTTTACTTTTTTGAGGTAGCAACTTCTCTGAATTATCAGTGCGAGCATTATAAAATTGTCATATGAAATTATTTTTGAAAAGCAAATTTTTTTTCGAAAAATAATAAATTATTAAGAGCAGAGTAAACTACATACCAAACTTCACTAGTGAATTAAGAAGTCAAAAGTAAGCTTTTTTGGATATATTGTTTTACTGGATATCACACATATTTTCATATGGATACGAATTTCCAACCATAAATTCCTATTAGTAATATAAAAAATTAAAGGATTTTAAAGTTTTTAGGAAATGAATTTAACAATAAATTGAATAATCGATCAAGAGAGGTCAAACAGTATTGAGAGAATGTCTACAATACCTCGTGATAATTGAATTAAGCACATTTTTAGTTAATTCTATAGCTTTCCATAGATTCAAATTAAAATTCCTGGCTGGTAGAAAGAACATACACAGATTCAAGTTAAAAATTCATGGCTGGAAGATGATGCATCCCACATACTCTTTATTGCTTTTCATTCGCAGTAATTTTGCCTTCTAATATGCTTGTAACACGCAAAGGTAAAATATATTCAAATAGGTTGATATAACCAAAAGTCAACAATGTCACAACTATTCAAGAAGTCATTATCAACTTCGAACGGTCTATTTCTTCATTTGGGGCAGAATTGTGGACGAGAGATAATGAGAGATAACGTCTTTCATTTTGTTTCTTTTTCAGCGAGAAATAAATTCTATAGCGAATACGCTATAAATTTTGAATAATATTTCTAGAATAACTACATAAATTTTGCTCATTTACATTCCAAGCATAGTTTATTCTCAACTTTCCAAAATTGTGTTTACTTACGATGTTTTAAAAGTTTCAAGATTATGCGAGAATATGACTGATCTAATCTTTTAATCTGCCTGCCACATTCTTATGAAATTTAACGTCAAATTTATATTTCCTGAAAGTATATCAACATAATAGCACAATCATAATATGAAGAACAGTTTCGCATGATTTGCCTTCAGAAATATATTTTAGACGCGAATTTTACCGCAAAAATTTTATGACCGCAGCTCAATAATTTTATAATTTAAAAGAATAGCAAATAAAGCGAACATGTAAATAAGCTCGTAAAAGTTTTGGTATTGTCAAAATATATATTAGTAATATACAAAATACGATATTCAGAATGACTTAAAATGATAACATATATCATAAATACATTACAGAACTCATAGGTACTACTTGAAAAAAAAACTACATATTTCAAGTGCAAAGCTACGAAAATTTTGAAGTCAGTCAAATTTCCAAATAGAAATCATTCGCATTTTAGCAGGTATTCAAAAAATGAATAAAAACCTTTAAATATGAGAAAAGTTAAGACTTACGATATAAAGAAAACACGTGGAGGAGGAACGAAACTTACCTAATATCTTATCAGAGAAATTATAGCAAAAAAAGGAAACTTTTAAAGCTTTTGATTACTGTTCTAAGCATCATGTTCTGCTGTTTTGCATTGTGCACAAGCGTCGACTATGGGAATTCTTTGTTTTAAGCTTTCCAATACTTTTTCACGCACTTCGTATGTACCAAGTGTTGTGTTTGGGTTGTTCAAATTTGCAAATATTGTTTTGGGGACAAATGGAACTTCAGGAATTTTTGAACCAGCCATATCATTTCTCTCTTCGCAGCGAACTACAATATCCTCGCTTTCTGAAAATGCGGGATTAATTACATATACCACAGTGTGCACCGCAAGAAAAAATGTTTAATAATGAAAGATTATATCCAAAAAAAGCGCTTACTTCTGCTTAAATCCGCATTGCTCATCTGTTTTGAAATGTGACTGTCATCCGGTAATGAACTACTTGACAATGGTAAAGAATCTTTATCATTGAAAGGTGATACAGTTGACAATAAAGTTGAAGGAAGAAATAACTGTGAACGACAAAATCGATGCTAAATGCAAAATGAATTTCAGATAATCGCACTTCTCTTCAAATATATATAGGATTTATTGAAGTAATTACTTCATCATTACCTCGCATTCTACTTTTATAAGTTCAGCTTCAGCTGTCGAAGATTCAGCAAAGAACTCGAAAGAAATGTCCAGCAAAATATCCATTTCATCTGCATCAGATTGACTCCTTGAACTGATTAACCAGCTGAAAAATCTGTGTATTAAATTAAATCTTTTACGATATTGCTTTCATCCAAACATTTAAATTTAAGATTCTCCTGCATAATACTAGCATTTTCTAATTCTGCATAGATTAACAACAAAGAGTAAATTTTAGATTTAAAATGATGAATTTGTTTCGCAAAATCTGTAAAAAAAATTTATAATTTTTAAAAAAATAATTTTTTATTATTTCTTCCTTCACCCTTTACGTCGTCGTTGACAAGGAGACAATAATGCTCGATCTGTGCCACCCCGGCTTCGATCACGGATCATATTAACAAGTGGTGGACGTGAAGGACGAGAACTGAAAAAAAATGAACGCCACAAAAAAAACAAAACATGATAAAAAAATTTTACTTTGTTATTTTATTTCTTGAGTAAAAGTATGTAAAAGAGAATAAGAGAATAAAAATAAAAACAAAAAAGAAAAGTTAAATAAATTATAGCTAAAATACAGTATTTTACCGGAATCGAAAGTTTCGAGACATGGGTCATGCTAAAATGATTTTAAAAATATGTTTAATATTTCAATCATTTTTCTCACTAAACAAATAAATTTTAAGTATTTTGATTTTTTTATAAGACGCACCTGTCGACAGTAGATTTCCTCATTAGCCTTTTTTGCTCTTTGGTGGTTTTTAGATTTTTTTTAACTGCCGCGATTTTCATTTGCTCCTCTCGTTTCTTTTGGTCTTGAATTAAGCGGCGATTTTGCTCTTCCTGAATATTTATAAGATGATCTTTAAAAAAAAGGTAAAAAAGTAGCTGATTCAGAGGTACCACATTCGAAAATATTAAATCAATAAATGGTACACATCCTTTTTTGTTATTAACTAACTTGCGAATGAAAAAAAAAACTGGAATTTGTTTACTTTCCAAATTTAACATATATTTACTTTTTCGATAGCTTCAATTCTTTGTTGACTATCCGGCTCGATAGTATTGATTTGTTGACATATGGTCTCCATTGGAGCTGGATTTGGCTTGAAGCATCGTTTATGATCGATCACGGATGTTACAGCAGCTAAACAAACAGCGTACGGTTCGAGCTGCTTAGCTGCATTGACAATATGGCGTGCTTTTTCACGCAGTGTTATTATTTCTTCAATCTAGAAATTATACAAATATATATAAAGCAAATCAAATGTATAAACCTGTCACGTACAAACACATATGGTAATCATCTTAATGAGATTTTATTCCGTGAACCAGGAAAACTGAAAGATAAATGATAAAATTTCCAACAGAATACTAGAAAATAACTACAAAAAATTGAAACTTATTATCCAAAATAATAGCTAGTCATATAAAATGCTTACCTTTTCCCTGAATAGAACTTGCTGTCTGCGGACTCTATCCAATTCTTCCTGCCATATCTGCTGCAGTTGAGGTTGCAAATCACTTACAACTGTAGAATGCTGACCAACTCTTATATCCAAATCCTTGCACCTAAGTAATTTAAAAATAATCTAACCATAGATTTCACAGCACATCAGAAAAATTCCGAAATAAAAATAAAACTGCAAAAACTGAGATATGATCAGAAAAAAATAACATCTTGGTATCCCTTCCCACAGTTTGATAATGTAGGCTTCTCTACGATTACGCACTGAAGGGATTCAAGATAAAAATAAGCTATATGAGATATATTTTAAAACCCTGCCTAAAAATAAATTCAGAGCAGTGAAAATCGTCTAACATAAAGAATAATTTGAAACAGACTATGTACAAAATCTAATTGTATAAGGGCATTAATGGTAAAGAGCAACATACTTTTGCAAAATATCTTAGTTCTTTTTTTTCTTGGTAATATATAATTATTTTTAAAATCTTTGAAAATAATATACCTATGTATGAGATCAATCATAGAATCTTTCTCAATAATACATCGGCGTAGCGTCAAATCTCTCTGTAACTCTTGCACCTTTTTACCAAGTTTCGTCATTTCATGATTGTATTGTTGAAGCGGGGTTTCCACTCTGGTGAACTGCTCACCAAATGCACCAGCCAGATCAACAACTAGTTGATACTTACTTAGCAATAATTGGCACCCATTGACAACATTGGATCTAAAAAATATGTTTAAAAATTATTAGAAAAACAAACTGAGAATAAAGTTAGCCACAACACAATCCATCAAGCAAATATCCGTTATAAAAGTTCTTACCCAGAACGTCTTACAAAACTATTCCTTGGAGATGCAGTTCCACAGCTCCTTTCATTTCCATCATTACCATTGTTTACATTAGTGCAGAGCAAAAACGAAGACAACCCAAGAAATGGTTCCAAAGCTTTATTGAACTCCTCTCGGCTATCCACTATTAATTCGCCAGTATATTGTGGCTTTTCACATTTCATTGATATTAATGACTAAAAAATATTCTTTTAAGATAATCTGTATATTTCAAATAATTAAAGAATTAATGAATAAAACAAGGCTAAAAAATTACCAGCACATTCTTAATGCACGTATACTATGAAAACTTTTCTTACTTGAATTCTTTTCAGCAAATCTGTGTAACATTGCAAAAAATCAAGTTTTGAGGCAGAGGAGCAAAAAACTGAGGCACTCAACAAGCACAGTCGTGTTGTGGGCTGAAAAAATAAGCCATGATTTGAAATAAGGAAAAAGTATATTCCCATCATCAATCATAAATTACAGAAAAAGTAAGTCCCAATGATAACCTGTAAGGATGTAAGCTGTCTCATCTGTTCATGGAAATGTTGGAGACGCGTAGCCATTTCTTCATCAAGTTTTTTCAGCAAACGATCTCGAACTGTTAATAGCGTATCGGTCATTTCCTGACAAGTTTGTCGAATGCTAAAAGCTGAGAAGCAAAAGATTTTACAAATAAATGAAAAAAAAACAAAACGCGGTTCTCGAGATTTATTCCTTTCCCACATACAAGAGACATATATGGCAAACAAATAACTTAACTGGTTGCAGTCTCGTACCGAGAAAAAAAGCAAAACGACTTATCCATTCAATTCCAGTTTTAAAATTTTAATCTCATTGTAGCTCCGATTAGATTTTTAGTTAGCATTAGGTTTCTTATGACACATTTATTCTGAATTAAAAGCGAAATTAAACAAAACCTCTCACACGCAACACGGTGACTTTCGGCAAGCTCGGAAGCTAAACGTTTTCTTAATTGCAGTTGCTCGGCAACATCATCCTAAAGTGGAACAATACGAATTTTTAATGGGAATTTGTATGTGAAAAATTAACTTAGTTGATAAAATATACTTGAAATGCGCGCAATTTAACAGTTGCTTTGTCCAATTTTTCACAACCCATTTTGTGTGCGGCGTCAATTTGAACGAGATGATGCCTGAATGTAATTTTGAAGACATTTCAAAATGAAAATAAAAATTATGGATATAAAAACCTCTATTTTTTCTATTTCGTTTTAAATTCCATTATTTTTTCAGTTTTATTTTGAGAATTAAATAAGCTAACTTCTCTTTCAAAGAAGTTAGCTTATTTAATTCTCAAAATAAAAAACTATTATTGCAATGTGGCTTCAACCTAAATGGATATAATTTACAATGACTGAGATATCTCACTATTGACCATATCCAAACAGTGCAAAAAAGTAGTTCGACAATCAAATATTTTGTGAGAAAACACGGCTGCACCAACTAATCGACAAAATATTGTTTGACACGAAAACTGCCGAAATGGAAATATTTCACAGCCAAAAAATATAATTAAAAAATTCGAAAATTGACCTCGAATCAAAAGCAGCGTTATTAAAGCATACAATACATGCCAAGTTACGACTTTCTATTGAATAGAGTATATAAGGCTCTCCATGTGTTGGACAAGTCATGCGCCCTTTGACTCGTGCTCGCTCTTCCAAAGGCACAACTCGATGAGTAGCAAACATTCGGGCCTAAAATTTAGAGATCAAAAGTAGAGCTCTTAAGCGCTCATTTTCGATCAATAAATCTCTTTTTATGCAAAAATTTAACTAAATAGAATGACAAGTATTAATGAATTACCTGATGTGTACTGTGTCGACAGCGATTACAAAGAGCCTGTTGACAGGTTTCACAGAAATGCATGGGCTGTGATATCTTGAAATAATGAATTATTCTCATTAAGTATATTGAAATAAATATAAACAAGCTCCTTCTACGGTTTTTTTCTCAACAATGGAGACATCGGTAAAAAACTAATAGCACAAAAAATTAAAAAATTTTTTCCTGGAATTCTGGAATTAAAAATAAAAAATAGAAAAAATGTAATAATGTAGTAAATGCTCATCTTCCCAGTGTGTGCATGAAATCTAGACATCTTCACCTGATCACAGTTAGCACATACATCAGCTGTTTCATGACTAGTATCAATTAAGAATGAGAGTAGATTATCTGGACACACTTCACCGTCAATAGCAATGCCACATACCGGACATGCTTTCCGGTTCTGGATACACTCACGACAGTAATTGTGCTGGCACGGTAAACGAACAGGCGATGAGAACTCCTAAATGAAAGCTAATTTTCTTAATGATTTAGTGACTGAGAAACAGTATGTTATGGAAGAATTAACTAAGGCAACCTAGGTGAGCGCAATTTTGCTTGTAAAACTCAAGAAACAAAAAAATGTAACTTATAGTCAAAATAAATGTCGTAATTTCCAATTTAAAGAATGAGACGATTAAAGGAGCTATAATCCCAGGCGACGATGCAAAACAAAATAAAGAAATACTCGATCGCATATAAGGCACTCTAATGGATTTCTTGATTCCACATTCTCCAGTTTGAATATTAGCAGCGAGGATGAGCATGCCATCAACCATTATTTCATAAGCGTTTAAACGCTGCTGTAACGTACTCTAGTCGATATACAAAAAACAGAATCAGCTAATTTCTTTCACCTAACCGAAAAGCTTTGCGAAATAAAAAGCGAACGCTGTCCTCTCTCAACTCGATCAACTGTTCTCCAATCATTAAATGCTTCAACTTCTGACATATTAAGTATAATTTTCGAACTAGTACAAGAGAATTAGGAATTAATGGAAACTGGAGCAATGCAGTTTCTATAGCTGACAGCAAAAGGATAATACAAAAGTTACAGACCAACCGCTAAGTCCTATATTATTAAAAATCTATATATATTACATAAACAGGACGATAGTTTGTGTTACTTCGATACTTGCAATATATGTATATGTGCTCTCTTTTGTACAGCATTATTCGGAAAACAAAATTACTCGGATTTTATAAAACCATTATGCATTTGAGAAATAAAGAATAAATTTATTTTAAAAGTTCCTCATAAAATTAACATCCCAATAAATAGTCAAACGGACATATTAAAATTATCACATTAAACAACACAGTAAACAAACGTCAAGCTAACAGGCATTCTTTCAAAGAGAATTTGCAACACTATAACAGCTATTATAGAGAAAATTTAGCGAGAAAAACAGCAAACAAACTTGCTTTTATTTTTCCTGGAATATTTACATGTGATGCACAAAACAATCTGCCGATTAGAACTCGACGACAGAAGCTCTCGGACAGAAAAAAAAAAACAAAATCCAGTCCACAACTTTTCAAAAAATTATCCACCTGATCCAGAAAATAACAAAAACAAAGCATAAAATAGATCGTTGTATCGAAGACTTAAAACCACCGTTAAAACTAGCAACTCAAATTTGAAAAATATGATTTCAGAAAGTTATCGTTGTCAAAAAAAATTTCAACTTAATGATATCGTAGTAAGATTAAAATCTCAGCCAATGTCTCAACCAACATATCCCAAACTAATTCCTTGAGTATTAAAATGAGTGTTCCTGACAGTTCCATATATGGAAACCAAATCTCTTAATCATCATATTCGATATGACTTTAAATAAAGTGATATTTAATATTAATCACTGACACGATAACTCCAACTGAAACTAATAATAAATATGGCATACATAGAAAATGTCCCCAATAGGTTGCTGGAATACTTATTCTGAATCCAATGTTAAAGACAATCCTCCAACTATATTAAAAGAAACGGATGCGCTATAGGTGCCAACAAAACCTCCTTAAATTATAACATTGTACAACATAACTAGAATAAAATCCCAAAATATTGTAAACATCAATTGTTAACTGGATAAGTGGTTAAAATCAGGCTTTTTGGGAAGATAAAATTCTCTTATTAAATTATAAAAATATTTGCTACGGCATTCAAAAGACTAACTTGATAAATCTAGTAACAAAACCGGTAATAGCCTAATCGATCAGTTTTTTGGCTTTGAAATACCGACGAAGATATAGCACTTGCCATATGGCCAAACTGAGAAGGCACATCATTGAAAATATACTCAAATACAACACTCGGCTGTTTGTTGATTCTAAAGATTTGCTAATTTAGTGGTTACCAATAAAACAAATATTTTATTACAATAGAATAAGTTAATACAATCACACAGTTAATGAATTCTTTGCTTCATAAAAGTCAGTTAAAATATTCTGCTTTCTTCGCAGTCTGATTACATTGAAGTCTACGTTTAATTCCTTTTTAAAAAACAGGCATTCAATATTTCACCCACTATGAGAAATGTGGTTAGAAAACATTCCCCATGATGGGTAAAATAGAAAAACCAACTGAATGCATATGAAATCGGCATTCAAAAAAAGCATTCAATACTTACTTCTGAAAAGTTTAGGAAAGGAAATTTCAGAATTTAAAAAAGCATGTTTTGAATCGATCAAAATCTGATAGAAAAAGACACCATATATATACTTACCGTTGGTGGATCTCATCTCCTCTTCTCTTTGCCGCATATAAGCAAAGTCTCGAACAATCGAATCAGACAAATCCTCCAAACTGAAAAAATGATATCGGAAACTTCAATAATTAAAGAACAATACTTTAATCATTTACCATAAATTCAACAAAGCAACACAAGTCAGATAACAGTAAAATATTTTTATTTATGCATGCTTAATTTCCTTACCGCCTTAATTCAACTTCCAAAGGTTTAAGCTGCTCTGCTTCGGCAACTGCATTATAATTCACGGCTTCTACGCCTCGTTTCATCTCCAAATAAACTTCACGATTCCCACCTCGAATATCTAAATAAAAGAAAACTTAAAAAGCAAACCAGTAAAGTTTTTAAATTATGCCTTGAAATATTAAGGATACAAGCAGCAGCAGTTCGAAAAGATTGTTCATCCAGTGCTTTCATTTTTACAACTTCAATTTTCTATCATATAATTCCCGAAAAAGCAACAAACTTGGTGGAAGATGTGTGCTGAAACATATTTCAAAGATATCATATTCGTCAGCTGTGAATGCAAACTTGCCACTCGTTTCAGTGAAACGTTCTCGCTGATATAATGTATGACTTCTAGTATCTGTTACCTGAAGCATGCTGAAATATCTCGTCCAATCAAAACACAGGCCATCATATCTTTGCTGTGTGAAACTAACAAAAGTACTAAACTAGCAATTCGTCTTCACATTACGACATCAGCAATAACAAAAAAAAAAACATAGTGTTAATAGAAAATGGAAACTTGCATGGACAGAACTAATATGACCCGTAGTATCGGCAAATTCATATGATCCAGTAACAACTACATTCTTGTGTATCTCCTCCTTCAAACATTTTTTACCATTCGGCGGTACGTAAAACCGGATGCTGGTCGTCTGTGAAATGAGCACGATAACAAGAAGAAGAATAACATCTATATGCGTTATGTGCATTGTCCTCAAATATCTAAAATTAAATCAATTTCAACGGCTACAAATAAGCAGTACGACTATGATAAATAAGTTATTTATCAATTCTTTTGTAATAAGATGAATTTACGGTTAACGCAATGTGGAAGAGTTGTCAACAATAATAATGGAGATAAAACCTCTGTGATTACTGTCAATAACTATTTTTTAATGACTAAAAAACTTCCTAAGACCTTTAGGATTCCGGTTCTTCAACTACCATTCATCCAATCACTAACTAAGGATTTCACCAGTCAGTGGGATAGCCTTCCTCCGGTTTATTTGAATTTTCGGAATGTACATAACCGGATAAAATATCCCCCGTCCTCCCTCATGCCGGTCAGTGTAACACGTATTAAAAGCATGAGCGTAAAATTGCAATGAAAGCTACCACGTAAACCACTCGCTCTGTCCGGATTATGAAATTGCAAACGTCTCATCGTTTTATTAACTCGTTTGTAGTAAGGTGAGTTGTGGTTAAGCGATGTGGGGAAGTTGTTAACATTAATTACGGAGATAATCAGAATTTCCGTGATTATCATTAACAACTAAGATTTCGTTGTGTTGTCAAGATCTCCGGGATTCTCGTTTTTCAACTCCGATTCATTTAATTACGTGATGTTTTTTTGTCGGCGAATACGTGCTCTAACTTCTATTAATTTTCCAGTTTCACATAAAGTGGCATGTTTTAAGCTTTATGTAAACTGAAAAGTGCTTTTTTGCATCCGTTTGTTTTTAGAATGATTTCACTTTTGCATAGATGACATTTTCAGTAAATGGATCCACCGCTATCAGCATCACAGGATAAAATAAGGAGTGAACATATGGCCATAGATCTCAGTGCCATCAATGCCGATACCGCTACTGATAATCTTGGCTTTTTCAATTCGGCTATACATGACGACCAGAGAAGAGGTATTTGGTTTATATTTGTCCACTGAGATGTATGTCCAGAACGATCAAGTTAAGATATGCCTTTTATTTTAAACATTATTACTTTGCAAATGCTTTTATTTGCATTACTTCCTCGTCAGCTGCTTGACTTTTATCCGAAGCACATATTATTCATCATAATAAATAATAAATTTGATTGTTTTTGAATTTGTAGGAGTAGATTGTATAGAATCATGTTAGAAAAATATATAACAGCAGTGAATTCTATTGGTCACAAAATTTTTCTCCAGATTATAACGTTTCGGGGACGATGTCAACAAATGTTGAGAGTTCTGATGAAAAACATTATCGAAGAGTTATGCAGAGTGGGTATACAAGTCGTTTTCTTGAAAATCGAGGATTTGGTTGGCTTCTAGACGTTAACGATGATGTGGTTGACTTTCAAAGGCCATTGTTGTAAGTATCATTTTTATATTACTTTAACAGTATTTCAGTAATGCCATCATTAATTAATAATTTATTAGTATATAAAATCTTCAAAATAGGTTATAAAAATATATGCAGGAAAAGTTGCTCAGAAAAGTAGGTAGAGTGAAATACTCCTTGAAAAATGTTATATTTTGATATTGGTTGTCTTTTGTCGAAAGTTTTTCGGACCGTTCAGAACTTTTTCTATCTCAATAGCTGTTAATATTACCTTCAAAGAAAATTTATTAGTTTCGGAAGACTTGTGTCTCATTTGATACTTTAAGCAATGAAAAACATTCCTTTTGACGCTTTTAAAGTTTAAAACTTTCGATTTTTTCAAAATCACTTTTCTTTTGTTTAAATCAAAAAAATCCTGTTTTTTAAAGTCCATTTTCGAAGCATTTACGCACTATTTTTCAATCTGTATTGAATTCAGGGAAGAATTAGATATTGATTTGGCGGATATTTATTATAAAGTACGCTGTGTATTATTTCCTCTGCCTTATTTTCGGCTGAAATTGTGTATTGTTCGAGAATCGCCTGATTTCTGGGGACCATTGTTTATTGTTTCAACTTATGCCTTGTTATCATTGTACGGGCAACTAAGTGTATGTTTTTTGTGAAAAAATTTCGAATTTTCTGTCTTAAATTTAAAAGCAGACAAATAAGAGTTAAGGAGTTACAGGGCTGAAATTTCAGTCACATGGTAATTATCAATGTGTTTCTTCAGTTTTTATTTGTAACAGATTTTGAATTTTTCTGGCATTCAGGCACACTTTTTCATCAAACAAATAATTGGTGAGAAGGAGGAAGAAAGTTAATTTATGTTCTGGACAGTTATTTAAGCTATATCTATGACAGTTTCAGGTACTTTCATGGATTTTAACAATTTGGTTTATTGGATCATTTTTTGTATTTTTCCTTGCACGAGCTCTTGGAGGAGAAGTCGGCTATGGTCAAGTGCTTGGTATTGTCGGTTATTGCCTTATACCTCTAGTTGTTGTAGGCCTAATCATTTCAGTTTTGTCGAGGTTAATCCTTTCTGAATGATTAGATAATACTGTTAATAATATTTTAGTTTGCACGTTGGTTTTTTTTGCAGTTAGTGTTATCTGGACTCCAACCTCATCAATGCTGAAATTGCGTTATAACTACTCATTTACACCAAATTTAAAAATAAATGAATTTTCTGTTACTGATGTGTTGTACATACGATTCTGAAGTACCTAAAGTTTTTTAATACAATGGGAAGTAGAAATTTCAAATAAATTACGGTTCGTTTTTGTAAATAGTTTCAAAAAAATAATTTGAATTTTTACAGGTTCCAGTTGTTTTCTACAGTAATTGGTTGTTTCGGTGTTTTATGGTCTGTGTATAGTGCTGGTACGCTTCTCTGTGTCGAAGAACTGCGTGAGAAACGCACCTTATTACTTTATCCAGTTTTTTTATTGTACGTTTATTTCTTCTCACTGTACTCAGGAGTGTAATATAATAAGTATTGGATGTTTTCCCATCTTGAAGACCTAAATTAAATTGGTATATTAAAATCTTTCGAGCCAAATTATTATATGTTGTTTATTTCCTGTATATTTAGGAGTATAACGTAGTATTGTCAGTAATTATTAACCCATTGTTGTCAGATCTGTCACTAAAATCATGCTGTTCTTATGATAAGGTCAATGTCTTTTACATTTCCTTTATTTATGACTTAAACCTTGAACGATAAGCTTTGCTTGTTGAACGACCTTTCTTGAAACACGGAGGTAATCTCCTTAGCCCTGTTTATTTTCTTAAACAAATATGGTGACGAAATATGATGCTTTGATGATTCATTGAACATATGAGAAAAAAAGAAAGCGATTTTATTTAGATTATGACATTCTCTACTATTTATCTTTGTATCACAAATTAAGTAAAAAAGCGAAAAAAGAGCAAAATATCAGACTAGCGAGATTTATGTCTCGTTCTTGCCTCATTTAAATAAAATGTAGATTCTAAGGTGCCATGTCTGCCAAAATATTGTGTTGATTATTTTTCTTCTTACTTGCGTATCTAGTAGAAAATATACCATTTGGTATGTAGGAATATACTATTTCAGAAATTTGTTTTGATCCTCATTGGTATTTCAACTTGAATTAATTGAGACTTTAGAGATGCCACGGGCTACGAGGCAACTGGTCAAAATACAATTCGAAAAACTGTACCAAAAAAAAAGAAAAACCGAAGAAAGAACTTCCCAATGCTCCTTCCTGAAACAGAACTAATTTTATGCTAGAAGTACTGCAATCTATGTTTGTCGCCGAATGTATTTCAATCAACATTTGAATTCAAAGAATGATGAATGCTGTTTAACATTCATTTTGTTAAACAGCTTTCACTGTTCTTCACCATTCTTTGAAAGTAATTCAAGTTCTTTCACAATTTTTTACATGACAAATTTGTGTTTGATGCTGTAGCAAATTTCGAAATTTGATAACAGATAAAAAAAGTCGTTCCTACATCTCTTTATCTCACATAGTTTCTGTGCTAACTTTGAGTCACCATTGCCTGCGTAAGAGCTGTTGAAATACCGGATTTGATGTCACACCAAAAGACTTCTGATTGTCACAAACTAAAACATTCATTTCTTTTTCTGCAATACCCGTATCTTTCCTTTCATTTATATTTTGTTTCTGTTTTTAATCATTTCCTTTTCGATCAACTTTAAGAAAAGTTTTTCATATTGACAAATAGTTAACGTTATTTAAATTTAATGAATTAAAAAATTACAGTGTTGAAAGCTATCATACTATTACTTTTAAATTTTGTAGGAGAAATTTCTCTTGTTTACTTTTGATGTTCGTTATGGATCATCGACAATTTGCCTAATGTAAAACGATGCAATTATGGATGACTTTACAACCTTGTTCGTGTCCTTTCAAGCGAATCTTTTCAGATTATTTTTCTCTTGAAAAAATTCGCTCGTAATGAAAGGACACACCTCGAAACAACTGCTCCTCTAAAAAGTGTGAAAGTCCATATTTCTATTTTTTATCAGAGATATGATTACAATTTCAATCAGACATTATTGGAGTGTTACATGCAACGCGATCAATTGATCATTTATTTGTAATAATTGAATAAAAGGAATCTCCAACATGGTTGACAGAAGTTTAAAAGAAGGCTGAGGAAACAGAAATTTTGATAGTGATATGGTAACTTATTTTTTTTTAATCTTTCCAGAGCTCATTATATGATCAAAATTATCACGAAGCATTCGCTGATCTGCTCTTTGCAGCATACCATTTCATATTTTTTCTATTACAATAAATTCTTCCAATGATATTTCAATCATTCCATTCGTTTAATTTCATTTTTAGGAAAATATCTATCAATTTAATTTGTATTGTTCACTTGACGAATTTCTGCATTCGGTATGACGATAATTGACGAAAAGATGTAAAATAATTATTTGAAGTATTTCAGTCCTTTTATTTTCACTATAACTCTTCCCACAATGCTATTATTACCAATAATAATAACAGTGATAAAAATTTGTCTAGCTGATAACAGGGAAATATTGGAATGTGAATGGATTATTTGCTTGCTACCGAAAGTATGTCAACGTTTCAACGGCATTAGTTGGTTTTTGCTCTCATTGTTACATTTTATGAAATTTGTGAAACTATTTCGATGAATACTGTTATATATGTTTATATACAAAATTTACATTTCATTATTTGTTTAAATTCTTTCCTAAATTATTATTTAAAATTTTGGAAAGCGTTAGTAATTTTGAAAATTATCCTAGCTTGTTAACATTTTTCACAAATCCATTCCGGTGAAAAGTGTCAGTAAATTAGGCCTTCGGATCCTGAATTCAAATATCTCTAAAGATCTTGAAAAAAACAAGTCACTTTTTAATGACTATATGAAATAAGATTATTTTCAGTATCATGCGTTCTGCCGGATGATGCTATGAAAAGAAAAGTGGAAATATCTTCGGATTCGTTATCATCCGCTAATCAAATCACTCCGATAACCGAATCCATTTTCACAGAATCCCTCATTGCACACTCTTCACCGATTCCTCATTTGTCAGCACTATCATTATCGATTTCTAAAATGGGATCATTTCCATCTTCTGAAACAGTGACAGAGCAAGGACCGCTTCTATTTAGTCCCAAAACGTCTGAAGAAAATTTTACTGTGAAAATACTTCCACAAATCTGCTTGCTTCCTGCTCTCACTGGACCCTGTTCGAAAACAAAAGTATTATGGTACTACAATTCCTTAACTGGTCGATGTGAAAGATTCAGTTTCAGGTGATAGTTTTTAGTATATTAATCAAAACGTCAGTATCTAAATTTAAAAAATCAGTATTTTATATTTGCTATTTTCATACCAGAAATGGATTTTTACAAGTGAATGTGCAATGCTTTCCGGATAAAACAATCTGAATTGATTATTAAATAACCATTTTGTTATTTTAATCATTTCAAGAACTTTGCGATAAACGATCGATCCTCTTGTATGAAATTTTCTTTTATCACTATTGATAAATTATCAGCATTACTTCAAATTAAATCAACATTTTAGTGTTCATTTTAGTGGTTGTGGTAATGCGAATCATTTCCGCACTCGAAAAGAATGCGAAGAAACTTGCTCGGTGGAATATTTCATTTAGTATCTGATATTTTATGCTGACTATCTAAATATTTCAAATTATCAATGCTTCGTCACTCAATGACTCATTTAATAAGATCGATTTTGTTTGATTTCCATCCGTGATAGTTCTGGTCCGATCGCCGATATTGATAAAATTGTTGCAAATGATTTCTAAAAAAATTAACAGAATTTTTTAATAATTTTTTTGCCAGTTCCCTAATTACATTAAATTAATTAATCCAATGTCTTGGATGAAATGAAGCTATTCCTTTATCATAACGCAATTTAAAATGTAAAGATACGCTAAGCATGTCTGAATTTCATAAACTGATATATTGAAACATTGATCAAATTCATTTCTTCGTAAGCAGAAATTGCAGAAATTAAATCACTCATTGCTTTTCATGAAAAATATTATATGCTTTCAAAGAATAAAAAACATTCAAAAACAATGCTATCTTAACATGGAAAATGTTTAAAATATTACAAAATAATATGATAAAAAAATACGCACTGCAAAGCAATCCTTTAATTTAATTTGATCTAAACAGTGGTATCATTGATGGATATCAAAATTGAAGCTTATCAAAAATAATAATATAGCACTTTCAGTTTCAATTATATTAACACAATTTTTTATGCCAGTTTCATATCAATATGCGCATACTTTAGCTATAAAATGAGAGAATTTTGTTTTTAGAGAATTTTCATTGGTACTGAGTGATTTGGATTTAATTTTAATCTCAAAAATTTGTTGGAAATTGGGAATGATGATGCAGATGAATTCAGAATTAAAGTAAGCAAAAGTTAGAGATTTTTGAAGATAACATTGATATTTTTTACGAGTAAATTGTGACTAATCACTTTAAAAAACTTGAATAATAAATTAGTTGGAAAATTAGGATTATTTTTGAGGCTTTATCAAAAAAGCAATCTGCAAAAAAAATTCAACATAAAATTTGATGTGTTTACTTTTATCAACTACCGTTTCAGACAACAAATTTTTTCTAAAATTTATTTTCAGATTTCAAATCAAAAATTACATTTCACGGTAAGCGAACAAATTTTGCTATTTTTTCAACGAATGAAGTGCTGCTTTCCATTTTATGATTAGTATAAGTTTTTTTTCTGAAAAAAAGCTAAATAAATTATGCGATCTAAATGGACAGAAAGTATCAAACTATAACAGAAATAACCTGAATGAGTGATGTAATGAATATTCTAAATTTATGCTTCTCTCAACATTAATTTCCAACCTGAGCTATCCAATCGATATCCGATTTAGTAATAATCTAATTAAATGCTGGTAAAGCGAAAATGAAATCGGACTAGAACTGAACTGGATTGCATTCTGCGAGACTGCGATTTTTATGAACATGAATTATGCATGCTATCTACAATAATTTTGAGCATTAAAATAATTTTTAAAGTATAATTTTTTTTAAAAAAAATACCATATTAAATCGAATTGAATTAGACGAGAAATTGCTGAATAACATCCAAATTCAAAATTTAAATTTGATTATGGATGACATGCTTTCTCATAATAACACAATGCAAGAATTTTCAGAGCATCAATTTAGTAATTTAATCAAATAATTAATTGGGAAACATTTATAGTATAGTGCATCGTCGTGATTGTTGCTGTTGTCCATCACCGCTTTTCGATTTCATTGTGTTCGTTTTATCTTTTTCATTCACCGCTTCCTGTTGAAAAATGTTTTTTAAATTCTTTTTTTTTGAACAAAATTTATCAAATTTCTTTCAAATTATAATCAATAATTCCACCAAAACAAATTTCGGTATTGCTACATTAGAAAAGTTGTCATTGTAGCAAACTTCCTTTTTTTGCAACTTTTGTCAAAACAATAATCCATGCTGGATATTCAACAGATGAGCTGCTTATCATTAGTCTTAATTGGAATTTTCAATTAATTTTGAATACAAACTGACAGGTTTAACTTCTGCTACTGATGGAATCGGATGTGGTTTTGTTTTCTGAGTTTCAGATTTCTTGATTTCTGTTGCTGCTGTTGCGTGTATCGTCTGAGATTCAAACTTTTGTGTCGTTTCAATCTTTCCTTCATTTTTATCGGCTGTCATTTCTACTTGCTCCTCAATAGTTGATGTTTCGATACTAAAGCAAGTAAATGAATTTGACAATATTTGATAAATGTTAAATTAGCAATGAAATTAACAAATTTAATAGAGAGAAGAAACGAATTAAATCAACTCATTTATGTATTTAATGCTTACTTCTCAAACAGTTATGCCTTGAAATGTTAGCCGAAAATATCGAATGGATCATGTATAAATCAGAAGAAAGAATTCACATAATAAACAAAAATTCAAATGGTAGAAGTTCCCGAAAAAATCGTAATTTAGGACGAACATATCTTTTAAAAGCAAGGAAAGTGAGGAAATTAAAATATCTTTAATTTGACTTTCCGCCCTTAATTATGTGAATTGAGAAATAAAGTTTCAAATGCAATTGCTTACTTCTGCTTCGCTTCATGCTTCGGTTTGAGCTCATCTTTTTCAATTTCGGGACTTGCTTCCCCATGAACCAATGTTTCAACTCCCTAAACATTCTCTATGGCAAAGTATACGATAGCTATTGTTTTAATAACTTAAAATAATTGTTTAACCTTGATAACCCTGGAAATTTAAGCACAAATTGGCAAAAATATTGCTAGAAACATAGTAAAAATGGAGGAAAAAAACTGAAACAATGCAGGATGTGTGCAGGCGTCACAAAATTAACAAATAAAATAATTAAAAAAATCCAGCAACAGAAACATTTAATCAATTTCGCTTTAAAATAATTCTAAACTCCTGAAAGTTTGTGATAAATTTAGGAATAAATTTGCTTCACATCAAATTATTGTACTTTTTTCTCTCTCTAAAGCCTAATAATGAATTCAACGCACACTAAGTGCCGAAATCTTTATGAGAACTGAATAAAACAAATAACAAAATCTAAATTCTGTTTTTATTCTTCTGAAAAGTTCAGTAATTCAGAGGTAACAAATCTCAAGTAAAATTTTAAAATAAATTACCGAATCTTTTTCAAAACCTTATTATTATTACTATTAGTAAAAAAGAATAATACACTGTAAAACAATTTTGAGAGAAAATTAAAAAATCAAAGAAAAAAGAAAAATAATAGTAACAAAAAAAACAAAAAAAAAAAACTTGAAAATACCCTTAGTGAATGTTGCCCCATAGCTTTGGCTTCTTCCGCAAGAATCATTTCAATAGATTTTTTCTTCGGTGGTACTGGTGGCGGTACATTTTTGGATGGTCTCACCGGTAGTTGCAATGAAACTGCGCTTCCTCGTGATGATGGTGGTGTACGGTTAGGTGAATCGCTACGATTTACAGATTTTTCTGTCTTTGTAGACTAAAATTGTTTCGTTTTTTGTCCTTTTTGTTTTACTTTGAAATGCGAATGATACAATTTCAGATGGATGCTATTCCTATATTAAATTGTTATTTTGAAAATAATATACAATGAAGAATTGTTTGTTGCTTTTTCTAAGATTACTGTAGTATTCTCGAGAAGATGACATGGTGACAAAAGCCAATTGTTTCATTACTTGACAAAAGTAAAACAACTGATAATCTTTCATTTTAAAATTGAGAATTGAAATAGCAGTCTTATGTGATCCTTTCAATAAACTTTTTTTGAATTGTTAAATTAGCGCAATGTTTTATTTTCTAATTCAATTCAAACAAAAAATAATAATTTGCTATAAGTCATTCATAATAGTTTTTTTTTTGAAAGTTCCCTTCTTTTTTTCAAATCCTTAGGTGATGCGAGAAAAAAGAAAAAAGTGAAAAAAAAATCTAAAAAAATTGATTCTAGGAAAGCCTGTAGAAGGAATAAAATAATCAAAAACTTTTTTCTATAAAAATACGAACGAAAAAACAGTTTAAAAAATAATTAAAGAAAAAGGAAAGTCATTACATAGAAGCAAAATGAAAATAAATTTAAGAAATAATTAAAATTCAAAGCAATACAAATAAACTCATTTAAAAATTAAAATATAATATCGAAATGAAGATAGAAAAAACTTTGCTAAAAATCTAACTGCACAGAAATATTGTACAATACCTGAAATTTTGGTTTGGTTTTCTCTTGTATCGGATTAATTTCCGCTTTCATGATCATTTCATTCTGGTCTTCGCCTTTCACGATCGGGAAATTTGACCGTAATTCATTCTCGAGAGCATTTGAAGTTGCCGAGAATTCTTCTGATGATTGGAACGATGAAGTAACAATGTTGTTTGATGGATCGGGCATTTCATACAGTACTTTGTTAACACTTACCACATCCTGTACATCCATCCCATTATTTTCAGATATCGGGATTATGTCATAATGCATTTACGCTATTAAATCTATTCTAGTTTGAAATGTATATGCTGTTCAAAGGTCAAATACTGCAGAAAAAAATCTACGATAGGTCAAATGCTGCAGAAAATGTGAAACGAAAAATTTGCATGCATTGATGCTGCATGCATTCAATTATTGGTACAGGTAACATATAAAAGTGCAAGCAATTCGTAACAAAATCAATTTGTCGTTTGCAAATTGTTTCAAGTGCTGCTTAAAAGCGTATTACAATCAAATATTTGTGCCAATAGTTAATTAAAGATAGAATTCTAAATCTCTAATGAATTAATTAATGTTCACGTTCAAGAAGGGATGGGTCAAAGTTTACCTTGGATTTCCAGTTGATTCAAAAATGATATGACATCTTGTTATTGCCAGTATTTTAATAGTAAAGTAATTGCTATATATAATATTATGATTAGAGGAAAGAATTAAAATTGAAACAAATGAAAAGATAGTTATTTGAATTGCCATATGTGAGATTTATTGCAGATATCGAAAGGAAAAAAGCTGAAATCGAGAAGTTCACCTGGCTGGTAAAGCTAAAACTCACAGCATGTTCCTTAGATTGCGATGGATCGGGTATCATTTCATGTTTATTAGTTTCCTCTTTATCAGCAGTGAATGATTTTTTAGTGGGAAAACATGATTCCGGTGGTGCTTCGTTGGAATCCTGAAATTATTAAGGATTGTTATAATTTTGAATTCGTATAATAGCTGATATATAGCCACGGCAGAAATATTGTACAGATGAGAATTTCTCAATTACACAAAACTATTCGATATTTTCTGCTATTTCTGCTTCATCTAAATTTACATTAATAAATGGAACTCTAATTATTTTCTTAGACTTCTTGAAATATTTTTTTGTTTGATATTGAAATTTTCAGAATATTCATTTAACACTGTCTCATTAGCATTTGCTTATATTATAGAATATTCCATTCAGTTAATAAATTTGTGGAGCTTTATTGGAAAATCGTTGTTACTGGGCACTAAACAGTTGTGATCATAAAAGAAGAATCCATTTGATTCCATAATTTCTTACACTACTTTTATTGCATAAGAAAATTCTGATTTATCAGTAAGGTATGTTTATTTATATGTCATATTCACACCTGATACATGAATCATATTTAATTTTCCAATTTTCTTTTGATGTCAAATAAATTAAAACCTTAGTTTGCTCAGAAATAGATGAAAACTTTGACGAGATGTCAGTTAATTTCTGTTCCTTATCACTGGTAAATTGTCTGAAAATACAACTTTGCAAATAACGAAATGTTGCAAACACGAAAAAAAAGTAAATACTAAACAATTACATTAGAATACGACATTGTCTCATCTCACTTTCACTCAAATTACTCCGGTGTGAAACCAATCGTTTTTAAGTTTTAAACTATTTGAATCGTGTCATCGTAAGTAACATAAAGAATTGAATTATACTAAAAAAATTACAATTTATTCTTTTTTTTGAAAAAAACTAACGTTTCAGTTTTGCCATCATCAGTTGCCATATCGTTTGGATTACTTGTAATATTATGAAGTTCTTTTTCTTGTATTTCCTGTAAAATTATTCCGATTTTTTTTTTCAAAATTCTCAAAATTTCAAAGCAAATTAAGAAATTTAGTTTTGAAAAGGTGAATAGATTAGAAATATTAATTTATGTAACGTATAACTTTTCAAATTATTTGTCTATCAATGCTAAATTTTATTACAAAGTGATTCCATCTCATTGATGATTTGTAGCTCAAATTACTGAATTCACAGATTTAGCAGCTAAATTATTTTAAAACTGAGCCAAAATTTTTATTGAATTTCGTTCAAAATTTCTTACTAAAAGCTTTTATCATTTTTTGCACTGTTATTTATGAATTGCTTGTATTCATCTCCTCATTCATCTAAATATCTTCTATGCCAGATCAAATTTGAAATTTGATATAATGCAAATTAGAAGACTTAGTTTATAAATGTTTAATTGAATGAAAGAGAATAAGCTATTGGAAGTAATTTCATTTTTTATATTCTGTAAACTCTTGCAATATTTAAGAATTACCAGAATTTCCGTCAGAAAAAATATAAATTCTATTCGATAAAACTGGAAAAAATTTGCATTTGAAATTTGAACTCTTAATTAACAAACAAAAACAAATGAGAACCGAATAGTGAGTTATTCAGGTGGATAATGAATTGTAAGTAATGAATTTCAATTAGGAACTAAGAATTAAATCATTAAAAATCTTCCAACAACTCATTTCAATCTGAAAATTATTGCAATGAAAGTGGGCCATTAAAATAATGAGTTAGGCCGAGCCAAATCAATGAGACTAGACATCTCTTACTTAGCATAATGAGCCAAATGGAAATCAAATACAACAGGCAGTTTAATGATGACAAGAATTGATGAGTAAAAGGTTTCATCGCCATCCCCCTACTCTTCAAAAAAATGAAATCGTTTTGTTTTTAAAATGAAAATATTTTCATTGTGCGAGAGAGAAATTAAAATAATTTCAATTCTCAAATTGAAGTTTCAGAATTTAAATATTAAAAAGAAAACGAAGCACTGAGAAGTGCTGGTTGCATGTGATTTGAGCAACAATGATTCAACAACGTGAGGATTCAGATTAGAAGTCGATGTATTGCTTCCTTAATTCTTATATTTTCAGTTCAAGAAGCATTTGAATTATTCAGTTCGCCATTTTCACTTTTGCTAAAAATTTGCAAATTTTGACTTTTTTGAATTTTTTTGGTCTGAAAGTATTATGTTAAAGCAGTCCACTATAATTATCTTTCAAGGAAGAATTCGTTAATTTTTTTAATAATTCTTCGCATAATTAGCTTTAAATATATTCTTAAAAAATGATCACACTTATTTACATAAAATTTTTCCACCAATTTTGAAAATTTAGATATTTTTAGGTGTAGTCGCCAAATTATCATCAAAAAATTTAATTCCGGCATTTAATGCAACCTAAATTGAATGTGAATGTGAAGTTGTTAAAGATTTCATTTAAACAACTCAAAAATTAAACTGTTAATTCGTTAGACATTTTAAGATGTGAAAGTTCAATATCGGAATAATACTAAATGCGGAATGAAAAAAAAAATTAGGCGGAAGTAAGCTATAAGATGTTTTGCAAACCCTGAAATAAATTTTGGTTGACGTGCAACTATTCTTTTGTTCCTCAATCTTAATTTGTGCAACAGAGAAGAAGGAGGAGGGGAAGGAAGAGAAAAAGAAAATAAATAGAGGTCAAAGTGGTAGTTTCCTTTTGGATGAGTGATAAGAAAAATTGAAGAGGAGGATTAAATATCAGAAATATTAAGAAGCTAAAATAATGTAACATAAATCTTGGCAATAAACAATAGGAATGGAAGATGGAGACATTTATGGAAGGGTCTGGAAAAGCCTCATTCCGGCATTGGATGAGTATGCGAATGTTTTTTTTATTCCCCTCTGAAAGATGTGATGAGATGAGAATGCCTAGAAAATTAATTGATTCTGATGATGGCCTGTTCTAAGTGATATTCAATTTTTTTCTTTTTCATTTCATACAAAATAGCATCAAAATCTTGCAAAAAGCTTCCGTTGAATATTTTCGAAAAATTTCATTCATACAATGAACATGCATGGAGAAAAAATTTGAGCAAAATTTATAACTCTTCTATTAAATTGAATAAGTCAAAGTAAAAAATTTTTTTAGAACCTAATTATGATTGATTGATAAATTTAATAAAAAAAAATTAATACTTCACAAGTACTGGAATATTCTTTCTGGACTCCTTCGTCTATTATATTAATATTGGCATCTGTTTTTTCCGTTTCTTTTAGCTCCCTGTTATCCTAAAAATTGGAAACGTAAAATTCAATTTAAAAAATTTGAGAAATATAATTTTGCAAGCTTTTTTTTCTAATCCTAATTTTTCTAAACAAAATTAAACATAAACTTTTTATTCCTGCAAAATTTAACCTTCAATCTTTCCAATAAAAAATTAAACAAGCATACCTTCTCATTTATTACATCGTCAACTGCTTCTGGTTCCTTCAATTTTTCGCTAATATTAAATGCTTCGTCCAACAGTTTATGCACCTCATCTGCTTTATCAAATACAATATCACTCACTGTTGTGGTTCCAATATCTTTCGACTTCTCCACCTCATAATCATCATGATAAATACCGCTTTCAGAAAGGGTACCTACCTGTCCCGGAATATCTTCACCTGGTGATATGATCTTTTTGATAGCTTCCATCTCTTTATCATTCTCGAATTTCAACATCAACTCATTTGCATTGCCTTCCACTTTTGCATGATTATTGAAAATATTACTTTGTAAATGATCAATATTTTCAGCGTTGAGAAAATCATTTTCTGCTGTGACAAATGAATTTTCTTTAGATAGTTCATCTTTTTTTCCATTATCATTAACATCGATATCATTCATTTCAACCAATTTCTTCTCATTTTCATTCAATCTATCGATAATATCATCATTTTCAATATTTTTCGTCTTCACATTAGTCTCATTGACTTTCGCATCGGTTCCTTCCACAAAATTGTGCAGTTTTTCCTCAACAATTCCTTTCACATCTGCTATTTTCTTATTTGCTTCCTCATTTAATTTTTCAAACTTTCCAAAAGTCTCTTTTATCAACTCGTCCATTTTGTTCGCTCCTTCTTCCGCATTTATAGCATTTTTCTTCCTAATCTCACTATCCAACTTTCCAATTTTATCAATTGCTTCATTAACATTTTGATAATCCATATCTTCTAATCTATCTCCAACATTTTCCTTGCATAATCCTTCAAATTCAGTGGATACTTCAGAAACTATTCCACCGAGATTTTCGATAACATTTTCATTTTCAGCTCTTTCTTCTATTTTTTTCAAATCTTCCAATTTACTGACTTTTTCAGGAATAATTTCATGGATATCATCGTTAATTCTCTCCAACCCGTCCTTAATATCGCCAAAGTACTCTGAAGCTTTCTCTTGGATTCCAGCACTGAATGTTGTCAAATCACTGATCACACCGGAAAAAGCACAATCGGCATTGTTTACTGTATCATCCAACTTTCCTTTAGTTTCCTTTAACATTTCACTTATTTCATCTCCAATTTTGTGTTCAATCTTTTCAGTAGGAGTAATAATGCCTGAAGCTATCTTACTCATTTTATTTTTCAATTCATTAAATTTTTCATCGCCTTCTTCAACTTTTTCTGATAATTTATCCATTAAATTATTTTCCATTTCTATGATATTTTGTATGTTTTCTACATTCATTCCAGTTGAATCCGTAATATTTTCTAATATATTTCCTTCTGCCATTTCTTTTTAATTAGCATACCATTTTCAGGCAGAATTCATCACTGAAATTCATTTTTTTTAAAATTTCGATGCTTTTTTCTTTTTTTGAATAATTCAATGCAATTGCAATATTGGGACGAAAGTTAATGGTAAAAGAGTATTAAATGTCACTTTCTGATCATTTCATAACAGAATCTGATTGAAATACAATTCATACGGGAAAATAATGAAGCAATGGGTAGTTAAAAAATTACGTTAAAAGCGAATTAAAAACAATAAGCAACAAATATAATAGTGATTGAATAATGCTGCGAAGTAATCGAAAAAAGGAACAAATGTTAGAATTAGAAAACATTTCGACGATATTCAAAATATTGCAACTTCTTTCTGACAGATTTCAAAAGCATTTTAAAGAGAAATTTGAAATAAAAAGACTTAAACAATTATACATGAAAACAAATACACCATAGCGACTCTTTTTATCATTCTTTAAATAAAAAAGAATTGAAAAAGAAGAAAATATCCTTTGCTTACTGTTTTTCTGGCCTTTAGGTACAAGATGTAATACTGAAATCAAAATAATCTTAAAAGAAGCATAAATGAGAGTATTATTGAGTATTAAAAATTTAGCTCAGAAGACACTTAAATACACGTGCTAATAATAATTGAATTGAATTATGAAAAATAGAAAAAAACCAAAAAACTTAATCTCATTATAATTCTCTGATCAGACCAATACTAGCAATCGACATATAAATTTAACAAACAGACAAGAAAAATACCGGAAGCTTAAATAAAATGAAATTGAAATTAACCTATTTTAGGAGAAATTTCATGACGTAATTGGATTGAAAAAGGATGAGATAAATTCAGTAATATCAAATTCAAGCATATTTGAAAACAATTCAGAGGGTTAGAATGAATGAACGAAAACTAAGCAAACCACTGCATGCATGCCATTTCCAAGTGGCAAACATCAGTTCCTATTTTTCCTACCGAAACTAAATAATGTTTTGTTAGCTTATTTCCAGCTAATAGTTGATAAAAGCAATGTGAAAAGCAATTAAAATGACAAAATGACCACCTGAGAAGACAAAATGACCCCCATTCTAATCATTCATTTCATTTGTACGATCTCTATTCATTATCTTATTTTGCATTTTAATACGGAATATTTCTATCCAATCAGCAGTTTAATTATAAAATTAAATTAGGCATCAATTATATAAAATAACGAACATTTTGCATTTTCAGATAGTACTTTTTTGCTATTTCATAATTTCTGAAGAAGCAAATCTGCAAAATAAAAACAAAAAATAGAGATTAATTTTATTATGGAATCATGATGTACTTCAATCATTCAAATTCTTATTTTTAAAGATAGGCGAATTAATTTTAGATGCTAGCTAAATTTCCTGGAAATTTGTAAGTCGAAAATAGGAAAGTTATAGCATTTTAAATTGATGAAAAGATTTTTGAAATGAATTAAATTCTTTTCGAAAACTTTAAAGTATGGTTTACCTGTTTTATTTTACTCCTCACGCTTATATAATTTCAAAGAACCTTAACATGCATTTTTATTTTTTTTTTCCTGCAAAAAAGATGATAATATTAAACTGAAATGGACTTAGTAAAATGGTAATTAAAATCGGTGTTACTATGTGATAGAGATTTGAGAAAAAATAATGTGAACAGTTGACGATTTATCTAAGAAAGAAGTTAGTTAAATTTCCTCGGTTACTTTTAATTCTTGATGAATAATTAAAATGATAGTTTTTCGAATTGACGTTTAAAAAAATAATCTTAAAAATACAAAGATTCCTTGACATTAGCAAATGCAAAAAAGAAACGCTGTAAATCAGTTTTCATTACAAATCGGTAATCAAAGAGTTTTTTTTTTAAAAAAAAGTTAGTAATGCTTACTTTACAATATAAGTAATTTTTTTCTTGTTTGAACTTAGAGTAATATTTGTTAAACAAAGTATAAATGAATGAGAGAGATAAGGAAGAAGAGGGGCAGTTGTCTAATTATCATCATTATGGATAATTTTATAGATGAAGATGAACATAATTAAATAGCGCTAAAAACAGTGACAGAGAGAGATGAGTTTAATTTCTGACGGAAAAGCGTATTGTAGAGATTAGAATGGAAACTTTGTACCTTAGAAAGCAGATGATCTTGATGACAATGATTTTTTAGAAAAAATATGACAAAGTTCATAGTTCATTTCATTCCTTCCCATTTATCATTTATCATTAATCACTTCATTAAATTTTTCACTAATTTGGTTGCTTAACACCGCAAAATACATTTCAATGCAGTAACAAAACTAAACAACAATTAATAATTGAATTTTATTAAATTAAAAAAAGCTTTTGCATAAATTAAGAAGTGATAGAAAAGGAAGCTTTGAATTTGGAAGATGAATGATAAGTAAAAATAAATTTCAAGAACGCTGCATGAATCAGCTAAGATAACTGTACCAGTCCTACCAGAAAACCGGTTGTTTAAACATTCTGACATATATGAATAATTCTATGACGTAAGAAAGAAAAAAGTTTAATTCAATATCGATTATCACCAGCCTATTCGAAATTGAATATATAACATAAAGTATATTATATATCAATCGTGTATGTCTTCATAAGTGCACGCATACTGCAGTTGCAGTTACATGCGAGCATGCTTTTCCTTGTTTGCTCATATTTCGTTTTGATTATCATATATGAGTGATATCAACGATGAGTAAGCAATTTTGCATTCATAACAATGAAATATGAAAGATGGGAGAATGTGAAGGAAGTGCTTGCTAAGATCACTAAATCGTTGCTTATTGAATTTGAAAGTTGTGGAAGAGGGAGAACAGTTGTCCGTTCAATCACCGCCCACAACAGTCTCGTTTCCTGCCTGCTTCCCAGCAAACACCAACAAAACTTTTCCTTCGTTGAGTTCGTGGCTTCCTCCTACATTCCACCGTTCCAACAAGGCAGATAATAAACAATTTTTTTTTTTCTAACAGATTTGAATTCGAAACTGGAACATAGCATCGTTCTAAACCTCTGTCTTTCTCTCTATATTCCTCGGCAGTCATTAAATTTCTTTCAAAGATTAAAAATTAGTTTATTAATGAGATTTTTAATTTTTCCTAAAGCATATTGCTAAAATGAATAGTTCTTAAGCTATAAATATTATTGCACTCAGAATTATTTATTGAAATCAGTAAGATATTGAAGGAATGAATAGATTGCAATTAATTAATTAATTAAGCTGGTGGTAGTTTGTTTTATTTGAAAAAATATGCAGTTACGTAATGTTTGTAACTTAAACTTACGTAACTCTACTATATGACAATTCCGCAATCCTTTTTGAGTTTACTAAAAGATTCTTCAAGAGATCGATTTCAAAGAATGATCATCTCTGTCTAATAATAGCTACACTTTTTTATCATCTAACAAATTTTCCACCTGCTCTTTTACTAATCGGCATCAAATATTCTTGTTGACTTAGCATCTTCCACAGTTAGTGAAAATAATTATGAACTTGATAAATAAATAAGCTAATTTTCTCTTTGAAGTATTTTTTTAGTAACAGATGAAATATAACTTGCTCATAATATTCAACAATAAAATAAATTACTCCCTTTATAGCAAAAGAGTACTCATAATATAAATTAGATTTATAAACTGAAATTTTAACACGAATAGGCTTGAATAAATGCATTTTTTCAATTTTTTAAGTTTACATAGACTGATCACTTCAATATTAATTTTATTCCAATTCAGTTATCAGTTGACGAAAATTGTTTGCGGTTAGTACATATTTCCTATGACTAGTAATGTATTACCATCAACTTATAGCACAATTAATTAATTTAAAAGTTCGATGAAATGATCTTTAATCTTATGAGATACTTATTTTGCAAAAGGTCATCTTCAAAACCCAA